CGCCCCGGGGGGGGGGGGGGGTGGTCTTTGTACATTTAGATCATAACATCCGATATTGAAAAAACCCAACAATTTATAATCTTGAAAAAAGGACAAGATGCATTCACAAACGGAAAAAAAACACACGTATCTTATATGGAATTATTCAGAATTGCATTTGGAATAAACCTACACATGTCTTGAGTGGTACTTTTTGTGTAATTTCACCAAAAAATAGTGATTTTGGGGAGAACAAAATATTTTGACAATTTAGATCTTGATCTAGATCTAGCACTGAAAAAGATTTCTCAATAACAGAGCAATGGCAATTTGAGTCCAATTGTATCAATATTCTAAAGGAGAGTCCTACATTTCTTTAATGAGCAAAATAATGATACATTTTGTTTTGTAAAAGTACTAAGACTGGTGTCTGGGCTGTAATTTGGACATTCAGCTTTGCAATACAACAAAGTCGTATATACTTAGAAATCGTGTTTCAAAACTGAATCAAAACTTACGATTCTCGGTGTAAACGCTTGACCCGGAAGTCAACGTTATATTATAACCTTTATTTTAACATGGATATGTGGATTGGAATAAAATCAAAGCTAGAATTATAGGTCGGTTTTCGAGCCATCAGGGGCGGCTTGTCGTAGGGAAGTCACTTTAGCCGCGCCGCTGCCCACGGCTCGGCGTAGGGAATGAGGTAAAGTACTATGTCATTAGAAAATATTTATTAAATCTTTCCTCATCATCATCACCATCACCATCACCATCATTTCATCACCATCACCATCACCACCACCACCACCACCGCCATCATCATCATCATCATCATCATCATCATCATCATCCTCATCATTGTCATCATCATCACCATCATCATCAAAATCTCCAACATTTGACGGTCTAGGACTTAGTCCGGTACTTGTGAAAGAAAAAGAAACAGCAACAACAACAATCATAGCAGTATTGTCAAGGTCATGCTCATCTGTTGTGAAACAGGAGACATTTGTAGACATTTCATGGCAGATTCTGACTTTGTAGACATTTCATGGTAGATTCTGACTTTGTAGACATTTCATGGCAGATTCTGACTTTGTAGACATTTCATGGCAGATTCTGACTTTGTAGACATTTCATGGTAGATTCTGACTTTGTAGACATTTCATGGCAGATTCTGACTTTGTAGACATTTCATGGTAGATTCTGACTTTGTAGACATTTCATGACAGATTCTGACTTTGTAGACATTTCATGGCAGATTCTGACTTTGTAGACATTTCATGGCAGATTCTGACTTTGTAGACATTTCATGGTAGATTCTGACTTTGTAGACATTTCATGGTAGATTCTGACTTTGTAGACATTTCATGGTAGATTCTGACTTTGTAGACATTTCATGGCAGATTCTGACTTTGTAGACATTTCATGGCAGATTCTGACTTTAGAAAGTTTTTATTTATGTACAGCAAAGAGGCCTCCATTTTGTAGCTCAGTCTTCTTCAAAAGCATTGTCTTTTTTATCTTTTCATTTTCTTTGTATTTTGTCTTTTATCTTTTCACTGTCTATGTAATTTGTCTTTTATCTCTTCAATGTCTATGTAATTTGTCTTTTATCTTTCTCTGTCTATATGTAATTTGTCTTTTATCTTTTTTTGTCTATATGTAATTTGTCTTTTATCTTTTTTTGGTCTATATGTAATTTGTCTTTTATCTTTTCTTTGTCTACATATGTAATTTGTCTTTTATCTTCCCACCGTCAGACTCAGGAGAATCGGCGCCTGGTAAAGAGCAGCTTCCTGGTGGAGCTGGTGAACGGTGTGAGAAAACTCCGGTACGTGTTTCTGTTTAGCGACGTCGTCATCTGTACCAAGAGAGAAACAAACAGGTACGTACGGTTTCTCCACGGTATGGTGTGCTTGTCAGTACTTTATAGTCAAGTGAGAAAATCTGCCCTACCATGTAGGCTCCTCAATAGGGGAAATACTCGGCTGGAAGGTCAATGAGTGACAGTGACAGTGACAATAGCAGTGACAATAGCAGTGACTATGACAATCTTTATTCATCTCACGGGGAGAAATTTGTCTTGATCATTTACACCGGCGGTGGATGTTACAAAGGTTAGGTGCACTCACGCATACACACAACGAGACAGGACATTAGTAAATACATGTGTTACATGCTTTCAAAAACAACTTTCTTTTGTCGGTAGATAGACGTTGTTGTTGTTGTTAGCGATCCAGTTGGTAGATAGACGTTGTTGTTGTTGTTAGCGATCCAGTTGGTAGATAGACCAGATGGAAAAAGGAAGGGTGGATCAAGTGGGATAAGTTTCTATGAAGAAGCGACACTGTGACTGTGTCCACGACGTCTCTCACTCCCAACATTCCCCCGAGTGTGTTTTACCACCTTTGAGACAGTCATCTCTCACGCCCAACATTCCCCCAAGTGCATTGAACATGTCGTTTGTTTTACCACCTTTGAGACAGTCATCTCTCACTCCCAACATTCCCCCGAGTGTGTTTTGCCACCTTTGAGACAGTCATCTCTCACGCCCAACATTCCCCCGAGTGCATTGAACATGTCGTTTGTTTTACCACCTTTGAGACAGTCGTCTCTCACGCCCAACATTCCCCCGAGTGTGTTGTTTGTTTTACCACCTTTGAGACAGTCGTCTCTCACGCCCAACAAAACAAAACTGCAAAAACCAACATCTGAACAAGGCAAAGTACGAGGAATTACACAAAATCTGTTTTTGGGTCAAATTCTAAAATATTTAGTTTCCTGTATTCAAGAATCTCTATCATAATATTATAAGATAACAGACGGTATTGAAAGCTTTAAAGAAGGAGACTTGTGTCAGAAGGATGTGGTGTTTGCAATTCTGAAGTTTATGAAGTACATTTTCTATTTCTACATCTTCACTCAAGTGTTGCGTTTTAAAGTTTTGGTTCAGTTCCCAATAACAACTCAGTATTGGCTTCCATAAGACTTTGGAACCTGGTGAAAGGGAGTTAATTTTCTGACAATGTCAGAGTTGTTCAACTGTCGCCAGAGTTGTTCAACTGTCGCCAGAGTTGTTCAACCGTCGCCAGTGTTGTTCAACTGTCGCCAGAGTTGTTCAACCGTCGCCAGTGTTGTTCAACTGTCGCCAGAGTTGTTCAACTGTCGCCAGAGTTGTTCAACTGTCGCCAGAGTTGTTC